TGTATTGTAGTGAAACAAATGCAGAACAGAGTCCAACTGTAAATTAATACAAACTGCCAAAAGCGCCAAATAATCAGCGTATCTCAAATGTTTATATGCCAACATAATTGTGGAACATGATTGGCGGATAGACAGGTAGATAATCAAACAAAGGATTATTGGAAGAAACTACATATAAGGCATCCTTAATAAACGGACGGCTGAACACAAGTTTACCGATGGAACTGAATAATTTCATTTGACAGTCACATAGTCACTTAGACACAGTAGTCCAAAATGATTGTGTAGTTATATAAACTCAATATGTCTGTATTGAATAGCATTCCTGGCCTACGCTCATCCGTGAGGGGCAACAGGTGTAACTAAGTAGGTATTAAATACCATAGAAGGGCAAAAATAAATACAAAACTGGAAATGAAATTTAAATGATCTGCTCTCCCTCAATACAAAGTAATATCAATTTTCGACGACTCTAGCTAAGTCTTTGGGACCTATGAAGAACAATTGAGAGGGCAGCTTAGCGCATATATTTTGTGGCATATGGGTTCGAAATTAAGACCTATATACATTGCCTTACGTAGATTACGAGGTGGTTGAATTGTGGTTTTCGGGATATCCGGAAGTGAATTTCTGTTTAATGTGTTTTATGTTTTCTTCTACCTGCCTAGAGCCAATGAAGGAGTTATGGCAGGTCACATCGAAAGCCAACAACGAACAAAGTCCTCACGGTCAGCATGTTTTACAAGAGTAACTAAATCATAGAAAATGACATTGAAGGAAACCATACGTTGTCACTCAGCCAACCTACTAAAGAAAATACTATACGCTAGGAGAGGCTTGCTGGCAAATAATTGCACGGGCTTGCGGTCTTAAGTTCTCTCATGAATCTGAGGTTTGAACTTCTACACACGCAAAAGCAGCTACAGACACCACAAGTATCCGGTGTTAAACAACGCCTTTACATTCAACACCTTGATAATTCAGATATGACAGCACAGTCAAATCCTAAGTCAGGAATGAAGGGGGTTGAAGATATATTTTGAAGACCATCGGTATATCTAGAAACGTCTGGTTTGGGTTGGTTAACAGTTGTAAGGAGTATGTGTCTCGATGTGCCCACTTGTGATATGGTGTGACTGCATACCCGAGCGCCCTCAGCCAGGTACATCCAGTCTGCAACGTCAAATGTTCAAGACTTTCAAAGCTATTTATTTTCAGGATTCATTTACTGCTACAGCTCACTCACTCTCTAGTGAGATAGTGATGGCCCTAAGATGTGGCAAGTCAGAAGTTTAAATCCAACGGGTTCTTCGTTGGTAAACGCTCTTCTGATAGCCTGCCATGTCCAAAAGCGTCTGGTCGTCTTTCCTTACTATAAGAGGCCATATAGTACAATATAGTAATCACTCCGTTATTCACATATACAGCGCAATGAAAGCCAATAAACCAGTGGAAAACCATCTGAAGGATGCTGTGTTGGAAAGACATAGTCAAGTGTTTGCGGAAGAATTGTGGGAGTGAAAAAAAGTAAAGACACTACTGATTCTTATACCGGGAATCACCCCAGTCTTCCGACCAAAACTTCCTGTACCCCATGCGGCGCTGCCTATTGTTGAACAAGAATTAGAGAGTCTGCAAGGAAGTGGAATAATAGAATCAGTAAAGTTTTCTGATTGGGCAGCACCAGTGGTGATTGTCAAAAAGCCAAATGGAAGTATCTGACTATGCTCAGATTATTCGACTGTATTAAACAAAGCACTTGAAGCCCATCAATCCCCTTTGCCGGTACCAAAAGATTTATTCGCGGAACAGAGTGGGGGTAAGCATTTTGCAAAATTACAGCTATCGGAAGCTCATCTACAGATTCCACTAGCGGAAGAGTGTAAGCATTACTTGACAATAAACACTCATAGAGGGTTGTTCCGATATAACAGACTTCCTTTTGGAGTAAAGACCACCCCTTCAATCTTCCAACAAACACCTGAACGAGAAAGTACTAAAGACGTTGCATCGATAATGTTTCGGTACTCTTCGATAATCGGTACCTGTAGATTTGTCACATAGCAAAGTTCCTTACTTGTTCACATCTGCTTGATCCGTAGTTTGAGGGTTGTCGAGGATAACGCGTGCTGACAATCGATGTCTTCTTTTTGAAGCACAGAGAGTTTAAGAGGGTCTGTTTCTTGGAAACTGTTCAGGGACGTTGTATGAGACAAGATGTCTGCCACTACATTGATTACCCCAGAAATGTGTTTTATATCTGAAGTAAACTGAGAAATATAGTCCAGTTGTTGTCAATCTCGAAGAGAGTAGTTATCTGTAGTCGACCTTAAAGAGGTGAGAGTTTTGTGGTTGTTGATCAGACTGAATTCTTAGCCTTCTGAAGGGCGTTGAAAGTGCCGTACGGCACAATACATGGCTAGTAGTTCCCTTCCGATAGTGCTATACCTCTATTCAGTGTCTGGTGACTGTCTCGAGAAGAATGCTGTCGTTTACTCATTGTTGTAAGACTCTTCTAATCGCCGAGACGGATGCCTCAATTGCTATATCAATAGTTACTCTTTCGGTAATTCTCTTGGTTATGGAGAGTGCTTTTATCGCGTCACCATGCAAATTGATGCGTTTTGCATCTACACGAAGTTAATCGATAAAGGGTTTCATGAGAGACGCGTAATTTGGTATGAACCGTCGATAGAAACTTGCCAGGCCATTGAGTGTGTGTAATTTCTTGACAGGGGTCGTTTCCGGTTGGTCAAGAATGACCACCACTTTGTATAGGACGGATTCGTTGAGCATCAACAAAGTGTCCGACAAAATCTAGACAGTCTGTTCCGATCTGACATTTCGGAATGTTTACATTAATTCTGTGTTTTTAGAATGATCCAAAAACAAGATCTAGATACTGGAGATAAGATTCTTTTTCCGGACTTGAGACCAAGCAGTCATCAATGTACGCTTGTACGACGTTGGGACGTCTAATGACATCGTCGATAAATCTCTTTAAAGTTTGTGCAGCACTTCTTAAACCGAAAGGCATGCACAAAATTTCTCCCTTTCTAGGGACCATGTGCAAGGTAGATGCTCATGGGATTTTAATGGACGGATAGTTCCTAAGTCTGTCTAGTGGTCGAATTCATTCTTAGCCAACCTTAGTTTTTCCGGAGCAAGTCGGCGCGCTTTCAGAACTACGGATAGTTCTGTAGTCGTGATGTGGTGTGTAACGTTACTGGTTACACGCGGTTATTTTGGTGGTGTTTGGTATAGTTCTGGGTATTTATCAATTATCTGTTGACAGAATGGGTCGATTATGTGCCTTAAAATGAAGGGAATAAACTACAGCCAGAAGAGGAAGTGTTGACGAGTAGATTATGGTGTTGAAACAGGTCTGTACCAATGACTGGCATAGAAACATATGTAACAATCAAAATCCAGTGAATGTGTTTGCATTATACACATATCGTTTACCGTAAATGGCAGTCGGTTTGTTGCATGAAAATTGGAAACTGCCTTGTGAAGTAGGTTGTTAGAATTTGCTGGAAGAACTCTAACTTCTGCGCCAGTGTCGACGTGATGGTGAATTTTCGTCACCATATCAGTGATGTGCAACAGACGGCTATGTTCACCGGTTGCCGTACATACGTGTCGTCAGGAGAGTGTCCTCAAAGGCTTTTCGAGTCGGACAGTTTGGACCTTGAAGAATTTCAGGGTTTTCTGTAATTTCGAGAAGACTTGGCGTACTTATTGTGGTACCAGCATCAATCAGGATTATCTGCCCTTGATGGTCTAGCGACAGATCTTTTTGTGAGAAGCTCCTAATCGTCTACGATTATGATGAATATTATAATGAGTGAAAGTATGACAGGGGTCTGTAACGTCGTTTTGTGTTGTATAATGCTTTTATTTGACTGAGTAGACCTCGACGCTGGGGATTCTCGTGCTCTTCAGAATTCGGTCGCAGGTGCAGCCAGTTTGTCTACGGCGCTATTTTGAAATGAGACAAGAGCCGCCCGCACTTTTTGAAGAAGTTTAGATTAGAACGGCTGTCTAAACAGGCCTTCGTCAATGGTCCGTTGACTAATGACCCATCTCATACGTAGTAACGTTTCTAATGCTGATCCATGCTGTAGTCGAATGTTGCGGAAATGTTGGTCCAACGTTCGTTAGTTGGTTAGGTCTCTTAATTTTTAGGAAAATTTCTTAAAGTGTCATAAGGTTTGGAAACATCACTGGTAAACGTACTTGGTGTGACGTGCCTATTGAGATAGAGCTATAGTGCCTTCGCTACCTCAAGGGATTGTGAACGTGTGTATTAATCTGTGTCCGCGAAAGTCAGCTTCTGTGTAACGGAATCAGGGTTCTATATTGTCGGTCCAAAACGGAATTAGCTGAAATGGGGGAGGTCTGTTCCACCATGATAGGTACAAAGTATACCAATGAACGGGAAAAAAATATCCGAAAATATGGAAACAATATCGCAAAGTGTAAAAAAACAACAATTAAGAAATAATATATAATGTTCCGTCAAGGAACGGGTTCAGTTTGCGAACAGATGCACTAGATTGCGTTAGGTTCACCACCAATGATGCCATAAGTTTGGTAACGCCTTTAGGCCCAACACCTTTATAATCGAAGTACGCCCAACCAGACAAATCAGAAGTCAGAACTGAAGAGGTTCGAATATACATCTGAATGGCTATCGATATATCAAGCAGCGCTTAATCTAAGCTGGCATACGGCTGTAAGAGATGCGTAGCACAACGTACCCACTTGCGAATGAGTAACCGAGCGCCTTCAGCTGTGTGTATCCAGTAAAACTAATGCGGTCAGCATCAAATGTTGAAGACTCACAGCTATTTATTTTGAGGATTTATTTACCAATACACAACTGTAATAAAGTGGAAATAAAATTTGTTCGAAGATAGTTTTGTTCGTAACTCTTCCAACAGTATGATGTGCAGATTGATGTATATAGTGGTTTATCTCAGATCTCTGGTTTGTTTGAGTGAGTTGGAGTCAAGCACACAGTGGCGGGTATCTTCGCAGCCGATTTTGTTTAACCGACTGTTTTTCTTAGTTGCTGATATCTGGGATGCATCTATTACTTGTCTATAATTAATTATAAATGGATTTACAGACTGTTTATACGGAAGGACATGTCTTCAAAGAAAATAAATTGAAGTTTGCTAAATATTCGGGGTTTCCCAGATATTCGGAGCTTGTTAATATTCAGAAACAGTTTGATCGACCAAAAGATGAGAATGGTTTGTATCCTGCTCGGAATGGAATCCATATTATTCATAAAAAGAGGAAAGCAGACGACGCCAATTTGCAGATTCACGATGGCTCTTCTGCACCAAGGTTACACCGTTTGCATGTTCCTTCTTCTCCTAGTGGTCATTTACATGGTCATTTGGGAGCTCATGTTGGCTCGTTTTTACAGCATCAGGCATGTACTTACAACGCATCTGATATCTCTGCAATAAATGCCCCAATAAATGACATCTCAAGTAGTGCTATGCAGTTCTCGAGTATGAATACGCTGCCGGCTGCAACTACAAAGGCGAACTCAAAGCTAACTACAACTGAAGGTGACTATGCCATAGTTGTCGGGGAGATGCTCAATTCTGGTAGCGAGGCATATGAGGTTCTTTCATTTCTCGGGCGAGGGACTTTCGGCCAGGTTGTTAAGTGCCGCTGTCGATCAACGAGTCGCTATGTAGCTATCAAGATATTGAAGAATTTACCTTCCTATTTAAGACAAGGCAATATAGAGATTCAAATTTTGCAAACACTGGCTCAACAGGATACGGAGTCTCATAATATTGTCAGGGCAATTGAATGCTTTCAACATAGAAACCATATGTGCTTCGTGTTTGAGTTATTGGATCAAAACTTATATGAGTATCTCAAGTCAAATAAGTTTCGTCCATTGACGCTTCCTGAGATCCGCCCCATTTCTCAGCAGGTTCTCACGGCTCTATCAAAGTTAAAAACTCTTGGTTTAATTCATGCTGATTTGAAACCGGAAAATATAATGTTAGTGAATCCAAACTCAGAAAACATGCGTTACAGAGTTAAAGTGATTGACTTTGGTTCTGCATGCCATAGCTCCAAAGCTGTTCAAAACACTTACCTTCAGTCGCGTTACTATCGTGCTCCTGAAATCCTTCTGGGTTTACCTTTTGATGAAGCAATTGATATGTGGTCACTGGGATGTGTTTTAGCTGAGCTTTTCCTCGGCTGGCCTTTATATCCTGGTTCATCTGAATATGATCAAGTAAGTTCTAAACCTGATTGTTTCGTTTAAGTATTAGTTTGAGGATTCGCTCATCAAACATACCTAGCATGTCGCGACACTGAAATGCTTATAGCGTGTTAAGTTGCTCACAGATTTTATGTGTTAGACAGCTGCCTGAACCTTATGTTTGTATACTTTTCATAAATAATACTTCATTACGTAGTGATTGCCAAGGGATTTACGTTGTAATTTACGCTTGAGCCCGAAACGTCGCGAGTTCTAATGGCAGATTCCTCTGGTTTGGATGCCTGGATAATATTACTGACCCAATAAGTTTATGGTTCACATTACAGTAATAAAACAAATACTTAGTAAATGAGTACCGTAGTCTAATACGTAAACACGTACTTGAATGTCGAGTTAGATATATTAAAGATAAATTACTTATTCATTTAATGACCAGAAATTTTAATTCTAAAAATAAATTATCAGAATCCAAAAATTCGGTCTTTATGTCACCAATCAATAGTCTTGTAAATGAGCATCATAGAGCCTTTATAAACTGAAAAGTGTTTACTTTTCTATTTGGGGATATGTACTCATTAAGATTTGAAATTCTGAGATTGTAGGTGCGTGTGGTTTTACTCAAATGAAGTATAGAGATGTAGTAGATAACGTAACTTACTAGTTGCACTCTCTCGTGCTGCTTTGAGCTACATTTATTTAAGGTCCAACGACACAAACGGAGTACCCAAATAGTAGTCATTTTCTGTGTGTATGATGATGGGAATCATAATGACTTAGATCGATGCGGTTTTGTATTAGATCCAGTCGGTCAACGTAGGACCAGGCACATATGCTTATCGGTCTAAGTTGCCATATCCCATTAGTACAACAAGATGAACACCGGATTCATAGAAATGGTTAATTCAGTGGTGGTAATATATAAAAGAAAGATTGAATATCAGGACATAGTACAGGAAGAGAGAATTAGTTCGCAGAAAGGAAGCGATTTTAATCTTATAGTTTAAGGGAAGACAGAAAGTGCATATACTGACGCCATGGTGGTCGATTCTGAGCCATGTCGCCTAGAGTCTCCAACCATTGGTTACGATAGTTAGATCCATTATTTATTGGTTACTGCTATTGTTACTTGGAGTGTCTTGTCGTTTTCCTCTAACTGCTGTGTGCCATTTGCGTTTGCCTCGAACATCATTGCATCACTCTATGCTTATTTGCTGAGTTATAAATTTTACTCATTCGTTACGTAAATCCTCCGATGTCGTGAAAAATATTCGTGTGATTATTTAGCTTTGTAAGTTCCGTACTTTATACCACTTAACTGCTATGTTCACAACAATTTGAGGTGACGGTAGTTTTAGGAATAGAATTTCATTCCTATATGATGTCACTACATATTATACTAGTAAGCTATGTATTTTTAAAATTAGCGGTACTTCGCCATCTGGATCTAAGTATAAAATGTATTCTAGGCATTCCACACTAGTTGATTTGAATTTCCGGACTATTTATACACGAGTTTCTGCTCGTACCGATATGACGCCTGAAGATTAGGCTTGACAGTCAGTTCTTAATTGATTGGAGAATGAGTCACCTACAAGCTAATTCCCTCCAATGACCTATGACATTTTATCATGCTTATTATATGTTCATATTCAGTATGTGAGCATGTTTTTTTTTACTACATGCAAGTTTATCTAGATAGTGGCTTGTCTGATTACTGATCGTTTAGGAACTTGAGTCAGCAATAAGGTTTCGTGAATAGCCACCTACCGATTAGCATTCTATTCATTGGTTTTAACTACCTGAAATTCCGTCTAATAAAATTACAAAAAACCTCAACTGATCACCAAATTAAGTGTATTTCGTGTTTAACATTTATTAGCTCCCAGTACATGAGAGCATAAGTTACCTATAAGTTTACAAAACATCATTGTGACTCCGATGATTTTTATTTTATTTTATTTTAACACATAGATATTGGTACAAGAAGGCACCAAATAGATATGCGCCACACAATTCTCATTTAATTTGTGTGAGGGCTGTGATACTACCCGGGTGCCCAAACCGAAGCAGGTGGTTTTCTTAGGGGACCACACCCCGAGTCTTCGACCTGAACGTCTGACCCACAAGGCAGTGGAGCATCGTAAGGAGATTCAGTCCCATGGTAGCCGGTGACCAACGATTGGTTCACACGCCATTTGTTCCTTCAGGATACTGGAGCCCATGTGCACCATTGGTTTAGGGTCCGGTTAAAGCGCCGGACATTCGCTTTTCGTCCTCTCATTTTCGTAAACAACACCCCCGCCACGAGAAGGCAGTGAGTAGGACTTCCCTTGGCAAAGGCTATATACGCATGGCCACGTGATAGCATTTCGAGAGGGAGAGCGGACTCTCCCCACTCTCGGCTATACCAGGGCATTCGGGGGTAACTTCTATGAAACTAATGCCCATTATCCATTTTGATTAACTTACGAACCTCTCGCAGACTCGTCTCAAAAAGTTCTTTTACCAGAGTAGCTACATGATTTTCGGGAAGATCTGTAGTCGCTTAACACGATTTTGTTCGACTACAAGTCTTTCATGTCATAGAATGCTATTTAAATATTTCCCAGTAGTATTGTCAGCGGTCGTTGTCTACTGAAATATGACAAGCAGTATTATAATCAGTGTTTGAAGATGTTCTTGTTAACTACTTCTGTTTCCATGAATCAATCCTATGAACCAACTAAAACTCCCAATTTCAAGGTCTTTCATCGCAATTGGCTACTGTAGTAACTTGTAGGTCCCGAAAAAGTCTGTCCGAGTTTCATAACTGCTGTTAATGCGTACTGGACTTCGCTCTTTTCGGCATTAGAAAACTCAACACCCGGCTGCATTTTTGTGATTACAAACTTTAGTAGATTGGCTTTTTTAGCTGAAATGTAAAGTAGCAGTTACTCCAAAAATCTCAAGTTCTAGGAATAGTAAAGTACCAGTCAATAATATTCAGTGTAATATCTAGTACTTGTGTGCATCGGTTTTAATTGCCACATTACATCACAACAAGGCAAAACTATCAAGAGGATTATCAAATTACTAGAAGCATTAGCTAAGTCACTAGTAGTAGAAGAAAGGCTTAGACATAGAAGGAAAGAAATTAAAAAGGTTTCAATGATCGATATTTGTTGAAAGACCAAGACAGTACGTCCGCGCCATTGTGGTCGGTATCGCTTAAAGCTTCGAACTTTTGATTTAAATAATTACACGGACCTCAACCAGGTAGTCTTCACTTATCTGCGTTATTCACTCCACTTTTCATTAACTTTATGAATTGATGCCACATTTTGGTTTGACCAACCCGAGCTTTCTTTTAGTCTACTAAATCAGACAAAATTTCTCGTCGAGGTAACCGGTGGATTTGCATAAGTAATACATGTTATAACCAAATCTATTCCACTGGACTATACTCCTTAAATAACATCAAACTCTAGCGTTCCCTATCACTACCTCTTTCACTACGGGATTTGAATCGATAACCGAATCTCGGTGCTAATGTGGTATGGCAACTCGAACTGATGTACGTACGTACGAAGTTCCACGTTGTTACTGACTGACTGACATGTTATAACCACATCGGCTGATCAAGATATACTACTTCACCAACTTATTCGTCATCCTTACCCAGTACCATGTTCCTAACCTCAGTATTGGTAACTTGGTAGTACGTTGATTACTAATTTTTGCTTCAATCAGTCAGCTACAACGTAGGACCAGACACATACATGCATCGGTCTAAGTTGCCACACCTCATTAACATAAGAAGATGAACACCAGATTCGTAGAAGTAGTTACTTCGATGATAGTAATATATAAAAAGGATATAATACAGGAAGAAAGAATTAGTTCGTAGAAAGAAAGATATAAACTTTAATCTCACAGTTTAAGGGAAGGCAGATTGTGCATACACCTACGCCATCGTGGTCGATTCTGAGCCATGCCACCTAGTTTCCAAACATTAGATACGATAATCACACGAACCCCAACCGAGTAGTCTGTATCTACCAACGTGCCTCAGACTAGAAGTTAGTGACTTTATGGACTAATGCCAAATTTTGGTTTGGTCGTCTCTAACTTTCTCCCATCCGTCTCCAACATTAGTCACCATTGCGCGTCGTGGTAATCGATGTTCAGATATATGTAAAACGTGAACCAACCATCTTAGTTTATGAACATTTACAACCTCATCGACTGATTTACCACCACCCCCTGAAGCAACAACTTGAATTAGAGGGAGAGAAGCGCATTCCAAACATCCCAGTGTTGTTGTTCAGTGCTACCAAGACACTGCGTTTCCATCAAACAGGACTTTCATCTCTGTATCCTAAGTCGATAAGTGGACCTCCTGGTAGAAGATCAATTCCTGAAAATCTTGACGATGAGAACGTTACTTCCAGCAGTTGGTTTATGATGGAATTAAACAAATAGTGGACAGTCTTGCCGGACGCCACTTGAGGTTGCAAAATCAGATGACAGTTCATCATAAGCTCTGAATTGACTGGTAATGTTCGAGTAAAGAGCCTTCACAAGGGTTATGTACTTCTGAGGTACAACTTTCAATGATGGACACTGCCACAGAACCTCTCGGTCTACAGAGTCAAAATGCTGCTTTCAAGTCAAAAAACTATAATTGTCGAACGCCGATAAGCATGCCTGTGTTCTAGAACCTGACGATAGTGAATATGTTGTCAATGCAGCCTCGTCTAGGTCTGAAAGCAGCCTGATTTTATCGCATTTTCAGTTCATGAATCTTTGTTAGGCGCCCGATAGTTATTGAGACTAGTATTTTAGATGCTGATTTTTACTTGGTAATGTATAGTTAGACTCAACAGTATAATTGATATCTATTTTCTCATACATTTTATAACAACAAATGAAGTACTTTTATAGTAGTATAATATCAGCACTAAATTCTTTGCTTTACTTTGACGTTTCCAAATTTAGATGAGATACATAGTAGAAACTCAAGGTTTACCCCCTTCTGATATGTTGAAAAATGCTGGAAAATGCAACACATTTTTTGTACGTGATCATTATCGATGTGATTGGCGGTTAAAGACTCCGGAAGAATATGCTTCTGAAACTGGTCAGCAAGCTAAAGAGGCTAGAAAATATTTCTTCAATTCTCTAAATCAAATCCGTGATGTAAATGGGCATTCTGCGTCTGACGAATCAGATCTTGATATCGTCGATCGCCAGCAATTTACTTATCTTTTAACAGAGATGCTAAAAATGCGTCCATGTGATCGAATAACACCTGATATGGCCCTTCAACATTCGTTCGTAACTATGACTCACCTTCACTGTCAGCCTTTCGCTAAAAGGTAAGTTTGTCTGTTTATTGTAACGGTAGTAGTTGTCACAAGTATATTTTACTTTGTACAAGCATTTGTGTTTAAATCTTTTCAACGTCAAGACAATAAAATAAACTATTTGTCAGGATGTAAATTAATCGATCTGTACTATTGGCTTCTATTTATTTATTTATTTATTTTAACATAAATATCGGTACAAGAAGGCACCAAATACATATGCGCCACACAGATCTCATTTGATATGTGTGAGGGCTGTGATACTGCCCGGCTTCGATAAACAATCAAATGATAATTACTACTGGAAAAATTGCTCTTGCTTCAACTCTCAGACAAATCATATTCACAATTATTTGGCAACTTTCGTTTTTGTTTCTTTTGTACATCATTTATCCACTATCTTTTATTCTCATTTTGTGTATTTGATTTCTCAACTTATGCAACCGCTCGCCTATGATGAAAATCCAGTCCTATCTAAACGATCTTAAGTCACTGACTAGTCAGAAGTTGAATGCTACCACCGACTACGAATACTGAACCAGTCTTTCTAAAGCCACATCATTCAAACTGTCCTCCCTTAACGTTCGTATATTAATGCAGATAGAGTTGGCTATGTTTAGAGTCTTAATATCGACATCTGTTGTCTACCCGAGACCCGTACTCAAGACTATTGGAGTACTACAAATTCGCTCTCCATCTGTCCCTTCGAAAAGCTTGTTTTACGTTCGTTTATCCGGGGACCGTGTGGCATCTTCGTATGGTTTTGTTGGCGTCGGTGTCGCACTAAGCGCTAGATCTGAGGTAGCACTAATGGATTGGATCCCCATCAACAGTCGGTTATATGCTGTTACATCAAAGTAAGAAGAAATCGATGTGATAAACGATGTCTTTTCGTCATCTCCGCCTATGTTTTGACAGATTACAGCCCGGTTGCGATCAAGGATGAGTTTTACCACCAGTTAATAGTTCTTTTACAAAAAGTGCGTTCTACAGATATTATAGTACTAGCAGGAGACTTGAATGCTCAGGTCGGGCGTCTAGGCACAAACTAGAATCGTTTAGGTGACCAGTGGGAACTTGTTAGTCTCAGGTCAGATAATGGTGACCGTCTACTGCAACTATACGCAGACTACAACCTGTTTCTGACTGTCACTAACTACCGACACAGTCGTCGCCGATGTGCCACTTGGCGCCCTCCCTCTGCGCCTGGACTCTGATCACATCGCGGTCGGCTACCACTGACTTGATTGTGTACAAGACTGCTGCTCTTTTTGGAGTACCTATCTGAACTCTGATCGTGCTCTTGTTTGCAGAGTTTTTCAAGAGGTAGTTGAACCGGTCTGCTGCCCCAACGACATCGATCAGACTGTCCTGTCCTCCGTGGCTTGTGACGACTGATTCATCAAATGTGTCGGAAGTTCGAAAGGAAGCGCTACACACGCACACATACGCTCATATAAAAAATGTCAAGGTTGATAATCGAATAACTGACAAGGTCAAAATGTGACTCAAGAATAAATAAACTGGTCTGTCCGAAAGCCAGAATAAACTGTGTGGGCTTAACAATGCAACTGACACTACATCCTAATCCTACCATTCCTCTCCGACTTCGCCATCGATGACGTCCTGGAAACAGCCCTGATGGATGCAAGTAATGGTGGTGTGGATCTGTTGCCTGGAGAAAGACTTTTCGACCTAGAGTATGCGTATGATATTTTCTTACTATGCGATCATACTCAAGCCATGCAATCCACACTTAATCTGTTGGCAGTCAGTGTCTGTGGGTATCCTGCTTCGGTTTGGGCACCTGGGCAGTATCACAGCCCTCACACATATCAATTGAGATTCGTGTGGCGCATATGTATTCGGTACCTCTTTTCACCAATATCTATGTGTTAAAATAAATAATAATAAATAATCTGTGGGTATGGTATAGGCTCTGCACCTTCGATGTGCAAAGTACTTTTTCACGACTGGCAGGACCCTGAACCTTCACTCACCCTGTGTAGTGAGTACACAGAAGTAGTCGGGAAGCTCATGTATTTAGGTAGCTGCATAATTGCTGGTGATAGCGTGAGTGATGAGATCAATTCACATATAGTGTGAGCCAGTGATGCTTATGCCAATCTGGACCATCTTTGGCGCGTTCGTGATGTTAGCCTGGATGTGAAAGGTCGGATCTACAACGCGTCGTGAATGCAGTTTTGCTCTATGCTTGTGAAACTTGGCCTCACCGAGTTGAGGGTGTTAGACGACTCTCTGTGTTTGATTATCGTTTCTTCGAAGGATTGCTGACATTTAGTGGCAACATCATGTTAGTAATGCAGAGGTTCGGTGTCGTGTGTTCGAGCACAGCCACGTTAATTCAGTTGGTTTCACTATCTTGAAACATCGACTTTGGTCTCTTGGTCTACTATGAGTGTCGTCCCAGAGAATTTCACATCGCGCATTATTTTCCGACTCTGGGACCGGTTTGAAAAAGCAAAGAGAGGTGGTCAGTGTATGACATGATGTCGTGGTATGATTGAAAGTTGTGCAGGACTGGCTTCTGTTGGTCCATCACGACTCTTTAGTTGGAATCCTTGAGATAGTGCAACATAATGACTTGAGTTGTTATTAAACATGTCTCAGAATAGAAGCCAGTAGAGATCCTGCTGTGATTTATTTATTTTTTTTCATAAAAGTGCGAGTGACTTCTTTAACTGAAAGAGCTCCTTCTGGTTGTATTTTTCCGAACTGAGCTGTTTCTCCTACAATAATAATATTCTTATTTCAGCCTTATACACTAATTTCTATCTAGTTTTGTACTTATTATGCTCACCTTTTTCTGTCATTTCACAACCTAAATTTTATTGTTTGGCACATATGTATTTGGTGCCCCCTTGTAATATTGTCTGTGTTTAGATTAATAAGTAAACATCAACAAACACCATCGTTGCATAGTTTTTCAACCACCGTTTCATATTGTTGACAAGATCTCTCTTAGGAATCATGCATTTCCGATCTTCACTTTCGTCTTTCACATTATGTTTTCAATGAAGCTCACTTCGCATCTGTAATTTGGGTCATTTTACTTACATGGTTATCTTGAACAAACTTGGAATTAACAACATTTATAAAGCATATTGAGAGAAAACCCACTGATTCAGAATGCTCCCATTAAGTATTATAAAATCATTTTGACCAACAGTTCGTAAAATTATTAGTATAATTCAAATCAGTGTCTGTAAATCTTCAGTGACAGATTAGTTGATTTCAGTTGTTCAAATACTTCCAACTTTTTATTTTCCTTTAAGGTCTTTCTCTCATATCATGAGTTTATCTATGTATTGGCATTTTGTTTCCCTTATACTTTTTGTTGTATTATAGGGCATAGCAATTTGAACCGAACTTCTACTATGTTATGTTGTATTAAAATCTTTCTATTCTATTTCAACGTAAGTAGTTAACAATAAGGTAGTGTTACCAAGTTATTAAAATGTCGAACAATGACTTACCTCCAGCAGAATAAAAACTGATGACTGCTTCTCTCTAAGTGCACTCGATTTCGACTTTTGATTGTTATTCATCTCAATAATCCCACACGTTTGATTTAGTCCACACTTTGATTATCTTTGGGAAATATCGTTGAAACCAAACCTGATATTATTCAAATGTCATGGTTTGTGCGCTCAGTAAGTTATCTTATTGTCGGGTGAACATAATGTAAGCAGTTACTTGGCAGCGCTTAGCACCTTATAGATTCTGTAGGGCGAAGAACTAATTAAAGGGACGGAAGGTCAAATGATTCACGAAATGTATTTTCATACCAGAGCAACAACTGACATAGGTACATGGAACTTCTAGAAAATGTGGGATACCTGTCAAATGACTACGGAAATGAGTAGATACAACTTGGCGGTGCTCGGAATCAGCGAAACCCATTGAACCCAAGCTGGACAGCAAAGGTTAGGTACGGGAGAGATGCTGCTGTACTCCAGTCACGAAGATGAAGATGCTCCATACATTCAGAGGGTTGCTCTAATGCTGTCCAAAGAAGCACAAGATGCATTTGTAGGATGGTAATCTCACGAATCTAGAGTCATCATAGCATCAGTCAAAACAAAGAAGGAGGGAATCACAATTAATTTTATCCAATGTTTTGCACCTACCAATGATAGCAACGACGACAATAGGGATCGGTTCTATGAGATGCTGCAATCAATCATAGCGAAGTGCTCAAGAAAGGGCCTCATCATCCTGATGAAAACTCTAAACGCCAAAGTCGGAATGGAAAACACCACATATGAAGATATCATGGGACGACATGGACTAGAAGAAAGAAACAAAAATGGGGAGAGATTTACAAATTTTACAAAATTTTTATAGGTCGCACAATATTCCCACGCAAACGTATACACAAAGCTACATAAATCTCACCGGACCACACCACAGAGAACCAGATAGATCATATTTGCATCAATAAAAGGTTCCGAAGGACAATTGAAGATGTGAGAACCGGGAGAGAAGCGGACATAGCTTCAGATCACCACCTGGTTGTGACCAATTTAAAAGTGAAGCTAAAGAAGAACTGGACAACTGGATAAACAGCACCACAAAGGTTCAATACAGCCTTCCTTCAAGATACTAACAAACTCAATAAATTCAAGATAGCTCTTAACAACGGGTTCCAAGCCTTACAAGATCTAATCAAAGAAGAAGAAACTACTATGGAGGACAACTGCAAAGGGATCAAAGAAACAATAACTTCATCGTGTCAGGAGGTGCTTCGCCGCACTAAGCATCATCATAAGGAATGAACCTCTATGGAAACCCTGGAGAAAATTTGAGAAAGAAAGAATAAGAAGACAGCAATTAACAACAGCCGAACAAAAGCTTAGAAAGTCAAGGCACAAACTGACTATACTGAAGTAAACAAGCAATAGAGCCGACAAGCGGAAATACGTGGAAGAGCTAGCAACGACAGCAGAAAATGCCGCAAGAGAAGGAAATATGAGACAACTGTATGACACGACGAAGAAACTAGCAAGGAAATATAACAAACCAGAGACCTGTCGAGGACAAAGAAAGCAAGTCAATCACCGAGATTGAAGAACATAGGAACAGATGGGTACAATAGTTTGAGGAACTCTTGAGTAGACCGGCTCAATTGAATCCACCTTACATCGAAGCAGCACCTACAGACCTTCTTATACACTTCGCTCCACCAACAACGTTAGGAGTTTATTTCATCATGGGAAAGACGTACCAAAGAAAGTGCATTAACCTTATACAGGCTTGCTACTCGAATCCTTCCGGTCGAGTTAGAACTTATACTGAACTGTCGTCCGAATTGGTTATTTCAAGTGTTGCTCGTCAGGGTTATCACGTCTTTCGGTTTCGGTTTAACTTTGTCTTGGACATGTTTCCAGAGATAACAATTTCATCGTCTGACTTTTCGGGGACTAATCTTCTGCCCGAAGATTGACATGTTGACTTTGAATACCCTGATGACATATTTCCATTTGGTGATGACACTGACAAAATCTGAGTCGTCTGGTCACCTTAAACAACAGTAGACGCATATTTGCGATGCAGTTCTTCCTTCAAATGTAAAATGTTACTTCAAGGTCAGCTTGCGTCATCTGAATTTGTGGTAAGGAGTGAAGGAGTTGTACACATCGACTTCACTTATCTTGGGAGTCTGGTGTCTGACTAAATCTCGGCACGGATTCAGAAGGCTCGATCGGCTGTTGTTAACTTGTTTTACTTATGGTGTAGGCGAGATATCCGTCTTCCAACCAAAGGGCGAGTTTACTGAGTAGCAGTTCTACTTTATGGATGTAAAACAGCCATTAAGAAGAGTAGGGGATATTCATAAGTTACTGGTATTCGATCATTTGTGTTTATGAATCGTAGCTTGTGTATTGTGGGGTCACGGGCTATGCAATATCTGGGATAGGAAGAGAATATTAAATAAATATGAGAAGTTGATGGATGTAGGAGTAGATCTTCATCAACTGAGGTATTTGGCACATTTTACGAATGTCCATAAGCCGCCTACCTCGACGGACGATGCTTTCTAGTGAAGGAGTAGGCTGGAAAAAAGCTAAGTGTGGTCGAATCAAAACATGGCATCAGCGCATGAGGTCTCTGATAATTAAACTTGTTCATGTTAATAGATGTGGACAACCTGGTTTAACTCTGAATCAAATGTCTCGAAATCGTTTGGAACATCCCAAGTGAATCCATTCTTTGTCTTCCCTTAAATCTTGAGATTCTAAATTCACATTTTTTTTTTCATTTCGCTAATTTACATTTTCTTTTCCAATTGTATCTACGATGCCTAATCTTTGCTATTATCACCAATACTGTTGCTACCTACTATTTTAGAATTTTGCCTGACAATTTCATCTCTGTGCTAATGTGGTATGGTAACTTGAATTGATGTACGTACGTACAGGTTCTACGTTGTGACTGACTTACTGAAAGTTTATTGTAAATCTGCACAGTAGAAACCAGGTAATAGAGATATTGACAACTTAGTTGCTGACAGCTGTACTATCAGATAGTTTATGTCCCTGTATCTCAGTGTGCTACTTTACATTTCTATCTTACTCAAATAATCTTTTGAAATTTGGTTTTGTTACTTTTTTAGAACCCAAGAATCTCTCACATTGATGCAGGTTTGTCATGGTAACGCACGTAGGCAGCATGCAACTGATTTTAATTCCAATTCGAAATGTATATCTTTATCACAGAAGGTTGTTAGCACTTTCCCGGAAACTCTTCACTATGTTACTTCAAATATTATTGATACTCGAAATGCATTGTCTACACAAATTAACAACCACCCATATCATCAGGCTAATCACTCATCTAACTGTCGGGCTGATGCTAGAGCTGCTTACTATGCCGCCGCAGCAGCAGCAGCGGCTGCTTTTTCGGCGAAATCAACTTCACAACTCATTCCAATTCCTAATAGTAATTCATCCGGCTTCTCATGCTTGCATCAGTACTCTTCACTGAATGCCATCAATGAAACTAATCATGTGTCTCTTCCTGCGACAGAATCTGGTAACGTCATTGAATGTACTCCTGCAACTATAATTATTTCTCAGAACAAATCTGAGGTTTGTGCGAGACCGAGTCAAGTAACTGCTGATAGTTTACCGGCTACGTATGCTTCTCCAATGCAACGTTCTCTTTCGTTCTACGACTTGGTAACTGCTGGTGGTGCTGGTAGTGCATTATCCCTACTAAATGCTGTCACCGCACCTGCGCCATCACCATTTTTAATTAGTAACTCCATTCCAGCTCCAAGAGCGCAGCCACTGACTTCTGTCTCGACAAACACTTCACAAACAAACCATATCCGACAAATGCTACATCATCCTCTCCACTCTGTTTATATTCAACCTGAACTCAGCAGGTTATCTGAAGGCGACAATTCATTTATGTTGGATATTGTAGGTCGAGAAAAAGGTAATGGGGCTTGTACTGCTCGTCAAGAGTCCGTTGATGTTACGTGTAAACCGAATACTGGTTTATGTGATACTCTGTGTGCTTTAGTAAATCAGCGACATTTATATCAATATCCCGCAACTGCTGTTGCAGCCTTAGCTGTGGCTCATCACCAGCAAAATTTCAACAATAATCAAAAACATCCCTCTACTTTATTTAAGTCCACCCGCAGCAGTGGATCTGACTTTGTTAACAATGTTTCCAGAAGATGTAGTGAGTGTCATGGAGCTTGTCCATCACATTTGGTCAAAGGTCCATTGACCAATTCGAGAATCAGTGAGATAGTTCGACCGGACCTTAATTGTTCCGTAAGTGTTATTGTGTTTTGAGTTAATTACACGCTATAAGCTTTTTGGAGATGACTAATTTTATTCTAGGCATCTGTTTCTTTATGTGTTCATAACTTTGTTCCATTTTGAAATAAATGTAGATCTGTTTTCTTAAAAATGTTAATAATAGATGGATTTAGAAATTTCGAAAACAACTCTACTCATACGAATGTCTAAGTTATGGTTTACATTAAAGTAAATAAGTACCATTTTCAAGGTATGAGATCACATAATATTAACGGAAGTTGAACGTTTCTGGTTTTGTGATATCTCACATAGCTAATTGTGAATAAAAGAATGATTGTGTATATTACTCAATATAGTTGACAAGTTGGTTCATCGACTTTCGAGATCTAAACGTGATAATGATTGATAATAGAATTTTGTCGGTTATTTGTGTCCCCCACAATGTTCACAAGCTGAATTTTTGTATGTAGATTCATGTAAGTTGGATAACGATAAACATTTGAAGCTGTGATAATTTATTGAGTCACTAATTTGAATTTGTCTAGTGCCCCTCACACTACTTCATGTTGATTGACTGAGTGATGATCTGCGGTGCAACAAAACCTATCAGACCATAGTTATACTTACATGGTGTTGCTAAAATATCCGAGCATCGTTAGGTGACGTAGACGGAACTTCATAATTCATTAAGTATTTGCAAACACATCGTACTACAAAATAAGCTAGTTAAAAACAACTAAATATAGAAGAAGACTCACAGTACATCAATCACATGCTGAGTTGTACTTTTAACATATATATCATAAATATGGTCAATCCTGTGGAATGTACTAGTACACTGATTAGTTGTTGACTCATCCTAAGAAAATGACAAGGCGAAGCCCATCCAAATAAAAATAAATCGGACAAATCTTGAGACGGATATCTCACATGGTTTCCTTTGTCCTAGTCAAATAGTAATAAGTTCAAAATGTCAGGAAGTATTTAGCCCATGCTTTACGTTACCTGTGCAACATCTATTAAGAGATATTTCTACTTCTAACTGCATCCGGACTGTTGACTTGTGACATAGTTCATAGATTGTTTAGAGTCCTTGAAAGATTGACTCGTGAGGAGTGGTTTGGTTTTTGTTCTGGTTGTGGATGTATTAGTCATATCTTCACCGTAGACTAGATGTTAGAAGGCAGTTATCATTAATGAAGTCCAACAATTTATGCGTTTCTTGCTATCGATCTGTCTTAGATCCATCAAACACGAATGTTCTCTGCAATTGTATGTTAAGTAGTTATATTCTTGAGAAGTTTTTTGTTATCAGTTGGCAATCAGTTGGTATGGCATGTTTCTTCACCTAAGTTCATAGTACTTCTAAAAAACTAAGAGGAGCCTCTTCGTTCACTCACTTGCTAAAATTAGTTGAAAAATTTGTATTTTGTTAGCTCCGTAAACACTAGCTGTAGCCTGAGTTATGCGACTAGTTCACGTATAGTGAAATTCAGAGCGGTTTATGCTAATATTATCGATCTTGGCACTGTGGTGATGTAAGTCTGGGTGAAGTTGTTAGATTTACGACATGCCGATGAGAGCAATTTTTTGTATGCTTGTGAAATTCCATCTACGAGCCGAAGATTTTTTACGACATTCTGGGTTCGATTATTGTTTTCTCCAAATGATTGTTGATGTTTGGTGGCAATATCATTTTGTAGTGCTGAAGTTCGTGATCGGGTATTATGCAGTTTTTTTGTTCGCCCTCCTATGTTTAGTTTGTGCATGTTAACTTCTGTTGTCTTACTACTGGCATAGTTTTTTCTGTAAGTTTACTCCATATAACTATGAATGCTAACTTTCTGTATTTTAAATGGTGTCGCGTTTTTTCTTGAATCTACGTTTATCTAACTGCTTTTATTAATTGTATTTCTTGAAGCGTGCTCCAATGTATGAAGTTCATGGATCAGTAACTCAACAGTCTCTGTCACGCCAGGACTCTACTTCATTTCATTATCAAGATCAACAACCTCACATGGTCAACCATAGTGATGTCCACAAACATTCTGTTACTCAAGTCCAACCGAACAATCCTTTTGTGAACGATACAGATTGCATGCCTATGAATTTAGTAACAAACAACTCAGAACCGGTTGTAAATAATGCTGTCAATTTGTCAATGCTTCCTCCAAGTATGTTATTTTGTCATCGAAAACTGAAATCTAAGTGTCCTCAGTGAATTATTAAATGCCGATTTTCTGTTAAGTTGTCTGTACACTTCTACGTCCATTTTTTTCCACAATTGATTTGATATAAACATATAGTCACATATTGTTGACTGCGGAAGTTACTTTTAAACTAATTGAATTTGTTTACAGATGATAAGTAGTTATCATTCAACAAATTCCAAATATTTGTTTACTGTTTGTTTCTTTAATTAACCACTTTCTATAGTCTTCATATTTGCTTGTGTGTGTGTCTCTTTAGTAACATTTGTGTGGTCCTTGTGTAAAATCATTGTGTTGTGTAGAATCTTATCACATTAATGTTTTTGTTTTTGCTTTTTGTTAGGTTCTTCGTATAACTCCAATCGCATGAAACGTCAGTCTGTCGCTATAAATTCTAGTTCTGAGAATGTAGATAGAATTTCTCATAGTTTAGTCCAACATGATGCATTCAGCTGTCCTTCAGAAATTATATCAAATCCTAATGCTATCAAATCGGATTGCGGATTTCCGGGGTAAGTTTGAATGCTTAGAAATGTTAGAAAATATTCAGAAATTTTATACGAATATTTGTCAAGATTAGAACGAATAGTTTGACAAAAATTGGGCACCGGAGTATAGAGATCACCAAGTCCCACAAATCTCTTTGAATATTGATTATACGTGAAAATTATATTTAAAATAATATCAGCGATTGAAATTTAAATAATTCCAACGTTTCGTCCAATTAACTTGTCTGGATAAAAGACAACAAAAAGTCAGTAGTGTGTTATTGAAAATACAAGTTTGAATTAGGACAACCACGTATATGTCGCCATAAATAACGGAATTTCGGTTGTTCATTTACTCTGAAGAAATGGCTTACATTAGGTCAAGAAACGTCGGAAATACAACTTTTCTACTCATTGGGATGTGACAAAAATATATTTATTATTGACTCTACTCAATGCTCAATTTATTTGAAACTATGAAGTCTAACCTTAGTATTAATACCTATTTACTGACTGTTTTTTACAATAGTTTTGCAAGTTTAAACTTCTATTTTTTCGTAATTGAAATTGTCGTTTTCCTATTAGTAAGTTTCTTATTCGTTTTCAAGTTTTCTACGCATTTGTTAACTTAGATCAATCATTTTTGGTATCTACCAATTACTACAGAATTATCTTTTGAGTAGCCTTGGCTAATAAAGAAAGGGTAATTGTTGTATCCAAGTATTTTAATCATAGCTAGGAGGCGTCATATTTGTATTAGGAAACATTACATCCAGGCTTTTCTCAACCAACAAAACCTAATAGCATTTACCAGCTTTTGTGTTGCTAGTGGCTTCGTGTATTCAACTCAAATTGTTTGTTTTTTAACGGTTCGAAATTGTAATATACTCATCGTCACTGATGTCTAGTTATGCTTAGCTCTTCCTATCATTTATTTCATGAATAAGATTAATAATAATTTGGCAGCCAATTTACAACTTTGTGTAAAGTTCTTCAAACTACAACTTATACAGATTAAAAGTACTACTGCTGTAGATGCAAAATCTAAGTAAAATGGCGTCCGAAAAACGAAGTGAAAGATGTATATTTTAGCTGTCTGACCATCACTTCACGTATACCGCAAATTGGTTACTGTTACAAATAATTAACCCTTTTAATTTTTTTAAATTTGTAAATTATTTTGGGAATATATCTTGTAATTTATCTTAGGGCGTACAAGTCAACCTTCGATTTGATGTGCCAACAGCGTTCCGATAAAAAAAGTAGGTTCATTTTCATGGTTATTTTCAATATTTTGATGTGAACACGTGTAGCCTTATAATCACATTCAAACTGTGCCTAAGATTTTTAATAATAATAGTTAACTAAATCTATACGTTCTTACTGAATTTTCTACGTGAATCCCAGAGTCCTACTCAGGCGTATCGTAATTTTGATGGGCAAGTTTTCGTACACCATAAGTTAACTGAGCGTTCACTTTTTGTTTTGGGTCATGATTTTCGGTTTCAATGTAGTTTTCATATAATAGATGTGATCCATTGTTTACTTCTCGCCAGTTTGAGGATTGTTAACGAAGGCATTGGTATCGTTTTTGGTTTTTAAATCTTCTATCCAAAAAATTATGTAAAGATATTGTTCCAACAACTATCTTAATCTAAGTTTAACCGTATGCTAAGAAAAAGTTTACTAAGTTGTTGTGAGCAATGGTGGAAAACGAAAAGCCGGTCTCCATAATGAATACTGGGGAAATTTTCAGACTCGTCTAAAGAACATTTATTGAAAAGTCGTCTGGTATTGATTTTATTCCGGAAAAAGATGCAATCGTGACTTGCTCACTTTTGCGACAGCTATAAAGTAATCAGCCTGATCAACACAGTGTTTAAAATATTAGCCGCTACAGTTCAAATATTCTGAATAGGGCTGGGCTACAGCAAACCCGGGTTAAACAATGTAATTTTAGACCTGACTGAAGATATTGAACAAATCTTCACCCTTGGGCATGTTTTAGAACAAATGTGCATACCAGTGGTCGACCGTAATATCCCTTGAAGTGAAGGCTTCATTCGACCAAGTTGTATTGCAATGTTTTTCTCTGGAGGGTGTACCGAGAAGTACATAAACCTTCTGAAGGCTATTTACCCAAACCTACCATCCTCATTCTTATTTATTGTTCTGTTAAATATCTTAATAGAAATTACAATTTCTCCCCTACCTTTCTGAAACCAATTTATTTCTTAAGAAAATTATATGACGCTATACATGTCCTGTTCAATGAGAAGACGTTAACAAAATGCAGTTTTCTAAGTCTTGGAAAAGTGTACGTTATTTCTTCCACTTTTAGACCTTCAACTAATCTTTAGTTCATACGTTATATATATCTGACAACCACTTCTCATGGCACGAAATGCTGTCTGAAATAAAAGTAGTTTTAAAAAAGCTAATAGTGGATGAGTGTAGACTGCGTAATTGGGGTCCATTCATTAACTGGGGTTATTGATTGAAGTGACTATGCGATATGGCCAAGAATCACTGTTGTGGGACAGATACATTCATTTTTTGACAGACTCCACGTTATGACTGGAGAACTGTTGTCATAATCATTACTTACTTACTTACGCCTGTTACACCCAATAGAGCACAGGCCGCCGACCAGCATTCTCCAACCCACTCTGTCCTGGGCCTTCTTTTCTAGTTCCATCCAATTCTTGTTCATTTTTCTCATATCTATCTCCATTTCTCGGCGTAATGTATTCTTTGGTCTTCCTCTCCTCCTTCGGCCTTGATGATTCCATGTGAGGGCTTGTCTTGTGACGCAGTTCGGTGCTTTCCTCAATGTGTGTCCTATCCACTTCCAGCGTTTCTTCCTGATTTCTTCCTCCACTGGGATCTGATTTGTTCTCTCCCACACTAGGTTGTTGCTAATAGTGTCCGGCCAGCGGTCTGAAGTATTTTGCGTAGACAACTGTTAATAAACACCTGTATCTTCTGGATGATGGATTTCGTAGTTTTCCAGGTTTCCGCCCCATACAGTAGAACTGTCTTGACATTTGTATTGAAGATTCTGACTTTGGTGTTGGTTGCCAATTGTTTTGAGTTCCAGATATTCTTCAGTTGTAAATATGCTGCTCTTGCTTTGCCAATCCGTGCCTTCACATCTGCATCGGATCCACCGTGTTCATCGATGATACTGCCCAAAATATGTAAAGGTTTTTACATGTTCCAAATCTTCTCCGTCAATTGTGATTGGATTGTTACATGCTGTGTTGTATCGAAGAATCTTGCTATTCCCTTTGAGTGGGCCAACATCGATTGGGAGTTCTGTGAGTGCTGCTTCGATGTTGGGTGGGTTTAGTGGGGCTGGTCGTTTCAAGAGTTCTTTGAAGTGTTCTACCCACCTGTTTCGTTGTTCTTCAATGTAGGTGATTATCTTGCCTTCCTTGTTTTTCACTGGTCGTTCTGGTTTACGGTGATTTCCAGAGAGTTTCTTTGTTGTGTCATACAGTTGTCTCATGTTTCCTTCTCTGGCACCCTTTTCCGCCGTCATTGCTAAATCTTCCATATAATTACGTTTGTCGGTTCTGATGCTCCTCTTCACTTGCTTGTTTACTTCTGCGTATTCAGCTTGTGCCTTGGCTTTTTCTGCTCTTGTTCGACTGGTATTGATGGCTGCCTTCTTGTTCCTCCTTCCTTGAATCTTATCCAGTGTATCGATCGTGATCCAATCCTTGTGATGGTGCTTCTTTTGGCCCAGAACCTCATGACATGTTGAAGTGATTGCCTCTTTTATTCCTTTCCAGTTGCTCTCCATAGTAGTTTCTTCTCGATTGAGTAGATCCTGAAAGGCCTGGAACTTATTGCTGAGGGTTATCTTGAATTTATTGAGTTTGTCATTATCCCGAAGAAGAGACGTATTAAATTTTTGTGATATTGTCCTCCCCGTTGTCCAGTGCCTCTTGAGTTTCAATTTCATCTTGGCGACCAGCAAGTGATGATCTGATGATATATCAGCTCCTGTCTTTGTTCTCATGTCCTGCATCGTCCTCCTGAACGTTTTGTTGATGCAGATATGGTCGATTTGGTTCTGTGTGGTGTGATCCGGTGAAGTCCATGTGGTTTTGTGTGTTTATGTGGGAATATAGTGCCGCCTATGACAAGTTTATTGAAGGCACATAGGTTTGCAAATCTCTCACCATTTTCGTTCCTTTCTCCCAGTCTGTGTCATCCCATGATCTCTTCATATCCGGTGTTGTCAATTCCAACCTTGGCATTTAAATCTCCCATCAGAATGGAGAGGTCCTTTGTTGGGCACTTCTCGACGATTGACTGCAGCCTATCGTAGAATTGATCTTTAGCGTCTTCATTGTAGTCGTTGGTAGGCGCGTAGCATTGGATGACGTTCATTGTAATCCCCGTTTTCTTTGTTTTGAAGGAGGCTTTGATGATTCTCGGTCCATGAGATTCCCATCCTATAAGTGCATTTTGTGCTTGTTTGGACAGCATCAATGCAACTCCTTGTGTATGTGGGGCATTTTCTTCTTCGTGTCCGGAGTATAACAGCAGCTCCCCTGAAGCTAGTCGTTGTTGTCCAACTTGCGTCCAATGTGTTTTACTGATCCCAAGCACCTCTAGGTTGTATCTCCTCATTTCTGCAGCAATTTGGCAAACTCTCCCAGTCTCCCACATTGTGCGAGCATTCCATGCACCTAAATAAATGATCGCTCTGGTTGTCAGAAGGGGCATCAGCCTCGTGACTTCCGAAGAAACTCGGCTTTCATCATGAGGCGTCATAATTCTTCTAAACGAAGACCTTCTGACTCATAGGGCAGAGTTTAAATGGTTTGAATATTTTTTCTGGTTGGCGTTTTTTAGCGAGTTAGTTTTCTACGTGATGGGGTCGCTAACCCCATGCCCAACCCTCCTCCTTTATCTGCGTTTGGGACCGGCAGTAGCCCCCCGAAAGAGACTCCAGGCGGAGTTATAATCTTTACTATTTACGTAATAAGTTAAGCACTTATTTATGGAACTTATATAAACAGTAAAGATTCATACTTTCATTTTCCTCTCACACTGAATTCGTTCTGGATTTTGACAGTTATCAGCCCATTTATATTTATCTTTCGAAATTCTATCTAACGAAGTTATATCAAATACAAATAAAGTAGCTAATCACTTCCTAACCCTGATATTGGAATTGTGCTTCTATGACTGGTTGTTGTCTCTGGTCGCAATCAGGTAGTCACTGACTTAGATTTCTTGAGATGCCACTTTATTTAAAGAGATATAAATACAGACATCATAGAAGCTAAAACAAAAATGTATGTTTAAATTGTACAAGTAAGTATAGTCACTCTTCCTTTTACGTAAAAGATTCTAATTACGAATCAGCACTCAAATATATAATAATATTTTGGGATTTTTATGTAGTAGATTAAATTACTTTTTCAATCATTTTAATTTTAGTACCAGTTGGTCGCGTTCAACCGATGATAAAGCAAGAGGATTCAAGTCATTTACATTCCTCCAGTCGACCTGTATCGTCACCTGTCAACTATATACCACCTAGTCGAGAGCCTGTTGTCTGGGGATCAAATCCAAGTTTGTTTGTATTTACGTCACCTTTCCATCAGCAGTCGGTGAATACTAATAATTCCATTCCTCAAAAGTTATGTCATCATTTCACTAATGATATATTTCCATATAATACTCAACAACCAATGGAATATATATCTAATCGTAGAAGTGTACGCAAAAATCCTCAGTTATCCATTACGAGGGATGATCAACATGTTGTGCAATCGAATAACCAATTATCGGCTGCTCATGCGGCCGCTGCAGCCTATCATAATTTAATGTTTTTTCAGTTACAACAACAACAATTACAACAACAAACTCAACAACAACTTCAACATAGTCTTATCACTGGAATTCCTACTGTCTGCCAAACTAATATGCCTGATCATTGCAATGAGACATACCAGCATTCACAGAGAGTGCTATCTGGCGGTTGGAATACTGGTTGCCGTGATTTTGTTGAACATTCGTCGGGTGCTGTTTAATAATTTAAATAGATCACTTCCTACATACGGAGATAGAGTTGCATATGCGTTTATTATCATTAAAACAAGTCATCTTTAGATGCAGATACTTTTCGCTGGTATGTAACTCTATAAAAGGCGTGGTTTTTTCCATACTATCCCAATTATTGCTTCCACTCACGTAGTCATTATATATATATATATATATATATATATATATATATATATATATATATATATATATATATATTTCTCTACCTCTATCTTACTAATTTTTTAGCCTGATTGGTTTCTTCTTATCTTTATTTATATTTGTCTGGTGTTAGTTCGTATTGTTTAATCCTTGCACAGCATTCCCTTAAATTTGCTCATTCTAAACTACAGTAATTAGTTTGTGTGATCTTGTTTTCTCTATTTTTTTGCACATGTAAATTTAGTCAGAATTTTTATCTAATTTATGGATTATTTAGTCTGTCCCACTTGTATATATACATATTGGATACTTAGTCTCAGATGAATAAATGTTGACTGTAAATGTTTAGTAATCGTACTTAGTTTCTTTTTGTGTGTTTGTGAACGGAAATTGTCTCATTT